AAGTGTTGCAGGTCTTTATGGTTATAGGGTGTTTTTTTCCCCCGTGGTGTATGGCTATTTCTGAATATTCTCCCTCCTTCCTTTTGACTGAAGCGAAGGGAAGTGCAGGCTTGGGAGGGAGGGATAAAAGTTTTTTATGACCCTGAATTATGAATCATACTGTTTATTTCTATGTTTATAACAGATAACGCTATTCACGTTATCTGTGAGAAGGAGCGACAAAAGTTCACCTTTGATTAATGGTAAAAATAGCGACACCGATAGCTGCAGAAAAAAAACCCACGGGTTTTGCAAAGAGCAGCAGAGAAACGCTTACGCTCCTTTTTCTCTCGAACATCAGCGCTCCTGCCGAGCCCGGTCCCAGGAGCGGCAGGAAAGATTGCTGCGGGGCACGACCCGTTCTTGAGCGGTTTCCTGGTTCCATGACTATTTTCGCCAGTCGGTAGGTACGAACCGTCCCAGGGGAGGATTTTCTGCTTGGGTGCAACAGCATTCCCAGCAGTACTTACGGCTCGATTTGACTCCCGATTGCCCTGTCGCGAAGAGCCCGATGAGGACGCAGGCCACGATCACCACCAGGCAGAAGAGGACGATCAGCGTGATCTCCAGGCTGCTGAACTTCCTCTTCCCCATCTAGGCACAGAGGAGCACCGACAGGTCGGGAAACACCAGAGACACTTGTGGAAACTCTACAAACAATTCATGTTTTAAACCATACCCCCAAATCCGAGGATTAAAATAAAACAACTCCTTAAGGACCAAGTACGATAATTCTCATCTTCAGAATAATCTCCGCAGCATAGATGACTGCATTGTTAGACTACTGGGCAATCACTGAGAAATTTAGTCGGTTCCCTGCAAACTGCTTTTAAATATACACACAAAACGATTTTCATCTGAGTTTAATTATTCTTATATTTTACTGAAACTGAAAAGAAAGCATTCCCTAATTTTTTGACTTTGCATGTTTTCTTTCCTTCTTTGGAACAAACAAAATCTCCTATTTTGTAAAGGAGGATGTTCATTTGTTTTAAAAAAAAAAAAAAGAGATATCTGCCAAAAACCTGTAATGGACCCAGATAGCACGTCATGCTGGTGGCACTTGGGAAGGACCCGGCGCAGGTGACAGGCTGAGTCACTGATTTGCAAAGCAGAAGCAAACGGTGCCAGCGCAGCCCGCGCGGTTACATGGGCGCTGCAGCCTGGCGAAGGCAGAAGTAACCACGCTGAGTAGTACGCTGACCGCTGGTTAAATCGCAGCTAAAACGAGGTGGAATATGTTAGTGCCTTAAACTGCAGTGTAAATAAAACCCATATTTTTCTTTTTCTAACCCCCTTTTGTGGCTGAATTTCTACGTTCCAGGTCTGCCTGTCTTCGATGCACGTTGGAGCAAGGCGTGCTCCATCGACACGGACATAAGGTGTATTGCCAATGACTACTTTTAGCGCTCCCGTTAACGTTTCGGCACCCAGTTAGCAGGGGTATTTGCGCCCGGTGCTCGTCTGAGGCCGGCGGAGGTGGGAGCGGGGCCGTCACCGACGAACGCGCCTCGACCCGGCGCTTGGTCTCCGGTGACAAACAACACGGCGCCGTTAACGTTTAACTGGACACCAGCAATAAAGCTAATTAAAAGTAATCATCTCCAGCATCCAGTTCACTATATACTGGCAGCAGTAACTGGATTTTTGATTCGGTTAAGAACACCTAACCTTGTGAAGCAGCCTTAAACACAACTAATTTACTTCTGTTGAGTTAAAATAAGGAAAAATGGGAATCTATGTGTCACACTGGTATGTCAAAACACTTCTATATGCAGCGATAACCTAAAAAGGGAAAAATGCCTTTGAAAAAGCTTTTTTTGGTAGAACAGTTTAACTCTGTGGCGCATCCTCACCTCCTATACCCTCCCAGTATCTCCTGCTGCCCAATCTGTACCCTCCTTCATAGGAATCCCACAGCCACAGGAGTGAATGAATGAATGGATAGTAAAAGCAATAATAATGATAATTAAAAAAAACCAAAACCCAGACCCTAGAGGAGTAGAGCTAGTGCTTAAGCAAAAGTACTTTTCAGTATGGTGATTAATAAAGAAACTTCTATAAATAACACAATGCTACTCATGTGTTCCTCACTAACATCAAGATTTGTAGCCCTTTTTAACATTATGATTCTTGGTACTCCCCAAGGGACTCCCGTGCTTAAAATCTGCCACTGTATTATTTTTTAAAACATGAAAGATAACATTTTAAATATTGTTCTTTGCAATAGGGAAATGATGCTCCAGCTGTTCCTCCCCAGAGTTCCCCTTAACATTGATCCCTAAGATCCCTGAAATGGAACATTCATTTTTGGGAAAATTAGAATATTATCAAAGTTTGTGTTGTCAAAGAAAGCCCCAAAACAACCATAACAGAGTATTTCAGTTCTTTCAAAGTCTCCCCAAGCACTGAGACTTTGAAGATAAGGATTTATAAATATAAATTCTCCTGAGTGACACGTACTCAGTAGTGAGGTACAGTTTGGATGCAACAAATATAAAATTACATACCTTGAAGTCCCCTTTGTATCCTTCATCCACAGCTCCTGGTTGCAAGGCTCAGCTTCAAAACCCATGCTTTATCCTACGCTCTTATCAGCTCGTTGCATTGGTTGTTAACTAATCTACCAATGGCAGGTACAGCCATAATTACAGGCAGATTGTAGAGACACTTTGAGCTAAATAGAGTTGCTATGGTTATTGCAGCCAAGGAATGGCTAGTTAATTAATAATATTTTGGTTCAGTATCACACATCAGGCTCTGCAAGGACAAGAAAAGCAGCAACGTCATTGCGCCAGGCTTGGCCCACGCTGCGTGACCAAACGTTTCTATTCTGTTCTCCTTCCACGTGGTTGTTCACAGAAGCTGCGTGGAACCTCCGGGTCCATCTGACGACGGCCCTTCCTGCTCTAATCACCAAAGAAGTCATTAAACGCTCCCAAACGCGAAACAGAGCTGTTAGGATAGTTGTAAGAGGGAATCAAATGTCTGACGAACACAATTTTTTAAGACTTAAGTATAAATTATTAATTTTAATATCAGTATGAACAGATCTCATAAGATTCTAGCAATAAATGTCAGAAGTGTAAGAAAAACGTAAAAGATTAGCACGGAAGGAGTTTTACAGGGGCCTGTTTCTCATAGTATGAAGAGTAATTGGTTTTTTAGTTTTCCTCATAACAAATCTAACCTCAAAATTAAATCTTTATTTTCTAAAGGAAAACTTTCAATTAATACTGCTAAAAAAAGTGTTTACAAGTTATGCTGCAATAATTCAGAGATGTCTGGGAAGTGCCATTTGTATTTGTTGAATTATTCACAGATTTACTCAACTTCCCAAATATCTTGCCTCCCACCAGCAAGTGCAGAAAGGAGCCTGGTCCCCTCTGAGCACGCAGGGAACGGTTCTTTTTTCCTCAATCAGCTCTTAAAATAAAGAAAATCAATCATACATATATAGCACCGTGGCTGTCCTGCAGCCATCCGTCTCTATACAAATGAATGTTACTGCTCTCAAGGACTCTGTTTTTAAAATGAAACCTGATCTTTGGTGATCTCACCCTCTCCCTTTCATTGCAACCACCTTATACATTTGCATGGGGGTGCAAGCAAGCAAGCTCTGGAAATGTAATGCTATCATCCTCCTCTTAATATTGCTAAACATACTGCTTGATGAGTGCAGATTGAGGCATAACAGTTTCACAGGCATTATGAAGGTATTAGTGGTTTAGTAGGTTGGATTTTTTTGTGCATATCTACTTTCCAAGATTTATATCTTCCTCCAGCCAATTCTGCAAAATACTCAATCCAGCAAAGCATATGACCACGTGCTTCATTCGAGCGCGCCGGCAATCATACCGCCGTCAATATAACCATTTGCTAAAGTGCTTTCCTGAACTCGCAGGGCTACGCTCTTGTATCATCAATCACCTAATGAACATTTTCTATGCAATTGGAGAGGCTAAAAATACAAAACAAAAAGGTCTCACAAGAGGGTTAACCAGCAGGTTTCCTCACTGAGTATATTTTCATTAGTCTACAAAGGGTCTCAACAGCAGTGCTTTCGGGTCAAGATGCGATATTGAACTAGAAGAAGCAGGGATGGACAATGCTGCACTCGGGGACACCAAGACACTGTAAAGACAACCGCAAGTCAATTAAACCAAGAGCTGGAACAACATGGTCTCTGCTGTGTCCTCATCTGGTTTCCAGGAATTAAGAGCAAATTCTTTTCCGACAATCAGTAAGAGAAGCGGTGAGAAGCCTGTGCATTTAGACTAGACTGTAAGAGAATAGTCTAGAAAAATAAGCTGGGAAATGAGGTACTGTTAAAAATATAGACATTAAACAAAAAGACATTTATCTCTTGGTTTTTAACAGGCCCATTTTAAATTAAATCATATACAAGGCTGAACAACTTTTAAAACTTGTTAGATGGTCACAGTTGCGTTTGTTCAGGGAGTTGTGCTAATAATTGAGCTTTCAGTTAAGGAGCCACCTCGGGAAAAAAAGATAGCTTAGGCTTTTTCCACAACTTCACAAGATTTTTTTTATTTCACTATATCAAACATTTACTTTAAATTACACCTTGGAGCCTTTAATTCCTGCAAGAAGCAGCAATCGGTTCATGCAGGGAAATAATGATTAACCGAGGTGGAGGGGCACATGTCGGAGATCCGATGGGAACATGCGGACCCTCCCATGCACTGTCTGGTGGCTTTGTGGTTTTCCTGTATGGATAACTATGGCAATAACACTTCAACGAAGGCTTCAGAAATCCTTAAGTGAAGGAAGCTGCGTGAGGGGAGAATAACGCTGTTATCACTGACTTACAACCTGAGCCAAAACCAGAGCAAGCAGGGGAAGTTTCAGCGAGAGCTGCCAGGGTATTCTGGGTAGGTCAAATCTGCTTTAACCGCTGATATAGCGCAGAGCTGGACATACTTTCATTACTTTGGTGGGAAGGGAACATTGCAGGATCTCCACAAAACATATATTTCATTGTGAGGTTGTGTTAAGCGAATTACACTTTGATTAGATACTAGAGCTTGATATTAGATATTGGAGCTTGATATTAGAGCTTTCTATCCTGAAACGGTGCAATTTTCCTAAGGAGTAGCTGGGTGGCATCCAGGAGGGTATTAGAGCTACAGAGCTTTCTGGCAGCGATGCCTCCTTGACCACTGGGGCCATGCCCAAAGTCCTACCCCCGATGGGACCCTCTGGTGGGAGGAACCCCAGCTGCCCCAGCTTCTTTCCCTGGGAAGCCCAGGTGTGGGGACATGAGGTACCTGTACAGGTCCCGTCCTGGCAGCCTGACTGTCCCAACCTGCACTGGCATTTATTTAGGATTGAGTTCGGAGCTTCTGAATCAGATCGGACTTTTTTTTGAGTTTGGATGAGATCTTTGAGTGGAATGATATGTGGCAAATTGGGAAAATATCTCCACTTTTTATAAAATTACTGTAACTAAGTGGTTTTCTGTTTGGCACAGGCATGCTTTGGAATGCAAAGGGTTGAGTCAGTGACTACAAGTTGTCCGGGAAAAAACCCTCCAGCATCAGACACTAAACCTTCAAAAACACAATTAACAT